AGAACAGTAAATAAAGAAGTAAAGCAAACAATTATGTCTTCTAGTTACGACCTTTGTACTTGGTTGCTGCTTAACATAGGTTGCTAAGCCTTTAAAAATTTTGCACGTGAGGATATGAAACAAAATAATTTTATTTCGGTTTCATATATACATTTTGATAACCAAAACAATCATAAATTACTACATCAATACCATAGAATTCCACTCTCATTTATCAAGATGTATTTTAGTCTAAAAAATATTAAATTTCAAGCACAATAAAGACACACCATACCTCCTTGAAATATTGGTTCAAAAGAAAGAAATGGTGTTCAAGGTCGTTAAAATGGCTGAGAAAGCCACTAGGGAGACATTCTGAGTATCTGATTGGTTATTCATGTCATATATAGAAGTAAGTGTATATAAGGGAGTGTTTCCAAAAATGGAAAGAGATGGGTGGGGTGCCACTGTGTTTGATTTATTACATGAGCAATATCTTAGCAAATAGAAAAGATAAGACGTTCTTATTTTATATTCTAGCTTGTCAATATTGGTAATTTGAGTTTCTAATTCATACGAAAATATAGACTTAGTATTTTGACTTGACAAACATCTAATTTGAACCGGTGCTGCATTCAACATACCATGTGACACACATAAATTGATGTTTATCTGTATTTTTAAATATTTATTTTTAAAATGAGAAATTGAGTAATGTATAGTACTTAAAGTTGAATTATAGTCTACAGTTTGATACCAAACTAATTGGCATAAATTCAAGAAATAGTCTTGAAAGAGTTAACAAAAATTTGGCACTAAAGAAATGGCTTTCAGACTTTATGTTGAATGAGCAAAAGAGTGATACTAATCACAGTGAACATTACATTTTCTCACTTCAACAAATTCCAAAGATTTTTTTAAACAGCAGTACAGATTTTTTTAAACAGCAGTATAGTAGATTTCCACTCATATGTTTACATCAACATAATATATACATGATAAACTCCTAATTTAATTTTTGCAGTTTAATGCTCATTGAAACTTCTTTATATTTCATAATAAAACATTTATTTCTTTATTTGTAACTAAAATTTCAAAAATTGAGGTCCTAGTAGTTAGTTCATTTGGGACTATGAATCCAAGGATTCACAGTTTACATCTCATTGCTGCAAAAAAAATGTGCTCTGTATTTTGGCATCATGTGCTCCCTATAAAAGTGACAGTCAAATCCTTCTATTTGGTTAGACAAGAGAGCTCAAAAGTTTTCAGTGGGTTCTGTGTACTTAGCTGCCTTCCTTCCAGTCTAATAGTTTCAAATAAGGAACAACTATATGCAAAAAGGTCTATGTGTAGCTTTGTGCATTAATTCTAAAAAGCAAACAACAACAAAAATTAACTCATAAAAAAGAAAATTAAGTCTTATAACTAAATTATATCATATATGAAATAGCTGTGTACATCATAACCATGTATTTAGATAAAACCATTAAGCATGATTTATCACACTTTGGTCATACTTGTGCCCTGTTTATAACTTTCATATCTAAACATGACTAAATCATTTACATTTCAAAAATCATTTTGATAAACAAGAACTTTTGAAACTTTACCATAGTTTCTGGTTAAAATACACATGAAATAAATTAGCTCAAAACCAAGCCATTATTCTTACTTGCTCAGTTTAGTTTGTGCTCTCTTCAAGTGTTTTATTTAATTTTTTTTTTCCATATTTATATGTTAATTTCTCTCAATAAGTTTACTCTTTATTATACATTAGTGATATTTTTAATTTGTTGAGTGATTCTGATGTGGAATTATTTTATATTTCTACCTGGTTACAAAACTTATTACTTCATTACAAAAACTTTTTATTTGTTTCTGCAAACACAGTTGTGTTTGGTTATGCATTTTGCATTATGAATGCTTTGTTACCACTTTGGAGGTTATGTGTTCTATTAGCACATTTACACAGGCTTCAGGTCACAGTAGGTACTCCATAGGAAGATCCTTGGCTTTACTTCATCGGGAGATTGATCATCTAATGAACTGATTTCGTCAGGCCTTGCCTTAAGTTTGAGGTACCACATATTTGAAATACAGTCAGCCAACTTTGGAAAGATAAGATGTTCTACTGTTTTGGTTTTTGAATATCTTTTTGGTAATATTATTATCTATAGTTATTTAGGTTCCATAACATAAGTTTCATTAGATTGGTTGATACTCATAGTCAAGTTCAGGTTAACAATTAGTCTTAGTTGTATCTTTTCTCCTATACCATTTGCTTAGGCTTACCACAGTCTTTGTTATTTTAGGATTACCTGTAATTCACCTTACTGGTATACCAATCATTAGTTTACCTATATTGTCTTTCTTCTGTACATCACATCACATAAATGTGTTATTGTTACTACACACTTACTTAATTTTATCCAATCACATCTGTTTTATTTATGTTATTATTTTTCTTTTTTCCTATTTACTTGGTTTGTGTGGAACCCTTGAGCCGGGGTTCATACAAACTTCTCCCAATATTGTACACACTTCCCACCCTTCCTCCCCACTGAAAACAACACTGGAAATGATAGTTTTTTAGAATTGAATAGAGGAAGTCACATGCATCAAGAGTGTGTGTTACGCTCGTGTTGGAAGAAGGTTGTCACAAGATGGTTTGGATGCTAGGAGCATTGGAATTAGTCAATTCCAGATGGGTGGGAGTTTCAAGGCTTGTGGTGTGCAGAATTTTTTTTTTTTTTCATATATAGGGCAGCACTGAACTAGAATAGCTATTTGTGGGAAAGGAGGTAAGTACCTATCATAAATACATTTTCAGTATAGGAAAATTATAACTATGTTATGGTAGAGCAATATCTATAGTATAAGTGTGTAATTCATGCCAAACTCAGAAGACTATACAGGAGTATAAGGAAAATCTAAAATGGACGATTTAGAGTGAAGAAGTGGCACATGATACAGAGAAGTAAAGAAAGTTCTTTCTTTTCATTATATATGCTGATTTACAACCTTGAACTCTTAACTCTATGTTCACAAGCAGTGTGATGTTATGACCTCTAACAGTTATATTCAAACTTTAATTAACCAACTTTATTATCAATGTACATCAATGAACTTGGCATCAAAATGTAGTTTATAATTCAACTTTTGATTTATTAATTTCAAAAAGAAATGTTTAAATTAATTCTAGATACTGCTAGACTTTATAGATGAGTTTTTACTCACAAGCTAAAAGGTGAAGTGCAGTGGTGAACTCTGCTGCTAACTCTTTGCTTTGGATGAAAAGGTTTGGTTTCGAAGGCAACATGAAGACTAATGAGGACCTGTTTTAGCTTGTTTGAACTGGTCCACTAGTAATAGCTAAGGGATCCATACAGTGACATTCCGAACTATGCTGCTGTACCTACAGTGATGGAAGTATATCTCTTTCAGTATGATAATGCATCATGCCATGTTACATGCTCTATTCAAGAGTGTTTGTGATTAGTAATACCCAGGATCTGCATTGCCTAGCTTAGGTCTCTGAATTGAATTAGGATGAACTGCTCTGCTGAAACATATATTTTGTAATATTGCCTCAGAGTCATTAAAGATATATCATGAAATAACACTGCATTTCAAGTGGCATAGCATCTCTTCCACTAAGTGTGTACTGATGGTTAGTGGTAAGTATTAGTAACAGAATCAAAGCTATACTTAATGCCAGAGGTGAGTGCTCTTTCCCACCTTTTTAAGTTGTACCAGTGTTAGTATTTTTAGTAAAGTCGTGTAGTTTCACAAAATGTTTCCTGCATAAAACATTCTGAGATATGAAGAACAAGATATCTGAAAGCTCAAAACAAAAAAAACACTAATTAACAGATATAATTGATTTTCAAAAGTGACATGATCTTTTTGTAACTGAAAAATGTCCACACATTGTTTACTTTTCATCCTGAGAAGTTTAACTGAAGTGGCTAAAAAGTTTTCATTACAAGAATATTTAACAAAACCCAGGTTAAAGGTTAGTTAATCTTCATTTAAAAAGTATTCTGCTCAAACAGTGTGACAAAAATATAATTTAATGATAATTTTGCTTTTGCTGTTATTCAGGTATGGGAATTGGAGACAGGAAAGTGTTTAATTCGATGTGATGGACACAATAAAAAGGTTGTAACATCATGTGATGTTTCTGTTGGTGGAACTTATCTAGCTTCAACATCTGTTGATAAGACTGTAAAGGTAAACTTTTAGCCATTATTAGCTCATGATTTGCATATGCAGACCTCGTGGAAAACAAGTGATATGTTTGAGTGCTATATTATAAACTTGTATAAAATGTATAGATTAACGCTTCTAATATATGATTCTTTAATCTCTGTCAAAGTTTTATCTTCTGATTATTGAAACACGTTAGAGGTTTGAGTTACAGTGTTAAAATGAAAATAATGAAAAGAAGGCTAAAATGTATTAAGAATCCTGATTTAAGTATCAAACCATGCTTTAATACCTAAAATTGTTTCAGTAACAACAAGAATAAAAAGCAGTAATTGACTTACAGTTGAAAAACTTGTGTAAATATTTATTGATGTGTTTAGGTCAGACCACTGCAATGCTACAGAGATGTTGGTAGTTATAAGTATGGCAGTGTACGTTAGCTAGTTTTCTTTTATAGTTAAATATCTCACCCATGAGTTAAAAAAACTACAAAAAATGCATATTTTCAATATTAAGAAAAAGTTTATATTTCAAATAAACAGATTTGTAATATTTAAGCACGGCTACAAATTACAAAGATGACAATAATGTTGAAGTAAATCAGGAGAGCACTTATTCAACTATTACAATTATACTTGTCATAAGACATTAGTATTAGGCCTAATGCATTTTTAAACACTACATTCTTAACCTAGTTCTTTAGAGATTTTCAAGAATTAGAAGAATGTATAGTGATAATAGTCCAACCACATTGTATTTGCCATATCCATTACCAACAATGTGTTTTACCTTCAGGCCAGCTGGGATACAACAAACACAGTAATTGTGAAAAAGTGAATAGGAAGTAATAACGGGGAGCTTATATATGGATCTGGTATAGGGGCACATTGATGTAAGTGGGGAGAATCACAAGATTTAAATTGTTATAAGCAATATAGTCAAGTATAAAGGCTGGAGCAAGTGAGGTAAGATTCATACCAATGCTTAGATGGACAGAGAACAGGAACTTTCATTCAGATAAAGCTAAAGTGTGAGCAGAGCTAAGTATTATTGGAAACACATTTTCAGTATTGGAAAATGATAACTTTCAATCTAGTCCCTTAGAGATTTTCAAGAATTAAAAGAGTGTATAATGATAGCATTCTAATCACACTGTATTTGTCATATCCAGTGCCAATGATGCATAGCACTTAATACAGAACTCTTCAGGCTGGCTGGGATACAACAAACACATTAGTAGTTTGAACACCATTTATAGAAGCCATTTTATACAAGGACAATTAACTATTGGTTATAAGGTCATATATGTAAAAAAAAATGTAAGAGGAAATGTAATGTTTGGGAAGAAAAGGAGCAAGAAAGTCCTTACTTTTCATTGAGAAAATAGCAAAAAGACTAGTATAAAATCATATATCCTGGTTTTTAGAATAGTGGCATAGGGTGGTTTGGACAGTTGATTCAAAATTTCAGTTTTTTGGTTCTACTGGCATGAGTATGTTCATCGAAGAACCTTTGACAAATTGCAGGAGTACCTTGTACCAACAGTCAAGAATGTGGGAAGGTCTGTGATGGTTTTGGGTACAATATCTGTGAACAGTGTTGGCCATCTTCACAAATTTTGTGGAATCATGGAACACCATGAATAACATAGTGTATTACTCCATTATGCTATACCCTCTGGAAAAAAGATGATTGGACAGAATTTCATATTTCAAAGAGATAATGACCCCAAACACACTTCCAGGCTTCTTTGGCAAAGAAATAAAGATTGGAAGACTTCTAGTGAATGGAATGGTCAACATGTCCAGACCATAACCACATAGAAAAAAATCTAGGATTTGCTGGACTCAGTGCTTGACAAAAGTACTAATTGTACTGTAGAAAGTTTCTAGACAACTTAAAGAAAAATGAAATCAAATTACATCGGAGACTTTGAGAAAATACTCATACTGTTTATGGGATATATTTTTGATGATTTTCATGTTTTTGTTCACTAGTAAGAGTTTGTTTTTTACATGAGTAATGATTGGTGAATTCTAAAAACTTGATGAAAGTTTAGGCTTCTCAGAATATGCAAGTTTCCTATGACACATAAGAAATGAGTTCATCTTGGGGCATGATGATGGGTAAAACAAAATACTCGGCCTAGATAACTAATGAATGAACATTTGCTGTAAAATTCTTATCAGTGCTATAAGTGTAGCTACTAGTTTGCTGCCAATTTTGATTTCATTTCTTTAAGTAGCTTGCTCAATTTTTTTTTGGTCACACTTAAGGTGTTTTTAATTGGATAGTAATTAGTTTGTTTCTGTCTACAACTCTATTTACACTGACTATTTAGATTGTAGTAGTTTTTCATTCAACAAAACCTTCAAAAAAAATTCAGTGCTCAGTATTTCAGGAGTTTTGATTGAATAATGGATAAGCTTAACAAGTGCAATAATTGTAAAATATATTTTGCTTTATACTATTATAGATTTGGAAGGAAAAAAACAAAACCCTGCAGTGTGTTACAACAATACTGGGTGATTTTAGCATGCGAAGTTGCTGTTTTTCACCCAATGAGAAATTTTTAGCATATGGAGATGACAATGGAGCAGTTGTGGTAAGTTAGACCATGTAACAACAGTAGCCTTATTATAGTATAGGTAGCACTAGATTTGTTGTTATTGCAAATATAATGATAATAGTAGCAAAAAATTAAGATTAAAACATTATTATAGTTTTTTAGACACACTTTGGTCAGGACTCTCCAGTATTAAGAATTTAGCTATACATTTCAGTAGAATTCACTAAACTTTTTATTCATATGGTTTTTGGCTCTATTCCAGTGTTTTTTCATGAATGTATAAGGCACAAAAATTAATTATGTATTTGTATTATTGTAAGTAATATGTGGATAAATTTTGTTCAGAAATTGTTTTCTTCTCTTTAGATTGTGGATATTAACAGTGAAATACCACAGACATCTAAGAAACTAGGAGTGCATAATAATCACTGGGTTAATGATTTGGCATTTTCACCTGATAGTAAGTACCTTGTTTCTGTTGCCAACAGTATCAAGTGGTGGAACATACATAGGGATCAACCACTACTACAGACTTTTGAAGTCAGAGGTAGTTCCCTCTGCTACATTTGTCCTTCTCCAGATTTTACAGTATTTATAACAGTTGATGATGCTGGAGTATTGTATATTCTTCAGCTAATCAAATCATTTTAATGATGTGTTGCATTTTCCTTTAGTTAAATTAAAATCAAAACCATTGATTCTTTTTTATTTACCAGCATGATCCTATTTCATGTTGTTGCACAATTATTATACTTAATCATGTAAAGTTCTTAAAAAAAAGTTTTAGCCATAAGTTTATTTTTAGACAACTAGGTGCAATGAAACATCACAGTAGCCATTTTAAAATCATTATTAGCTGTGTTTTTGTAGATTGTGTTGAACATATTAAAACAATTATTCCACTGGAACACTTTTTTTGCAAAGAGCCATTGCTAAAGAGACTGGTAACAAATTACCCAGCCTAACAAAATAAATTTACATAATGTTTGATTTTTGTGTTTAAGCAGTATTTACTCACCATCAATGAAACTCTTGCTCATGCTGTTTGGCCACATAGGACTGAGGTTGGGAGCCTCAGGCAGTGATGGCAGTGGTTTCTCTGAGAACTTTGCCTCTTCTTCATTTTTGAGGTTCCTCTGCATTGAAATAATTTAGATTATTTCTTTAAGTGGGGTTCAATTGATACATAACAACTGTAGACATCTACACATTGCCTGCAATGTCCAATGTATGAACATTTATGTGAAGAGTATGTCAATATTGTCACTATCACTTGTTAGTCTCATGGCACACTGGTCTTCTAACTTTTCTTTTGGGATCCTCGCATCAGACTCTACATTAGACACCTCTATCACCAGTTGAGCCTTTTGGCTGGCCTTGGCCAAGTCATTTGTAATTTGAGAGAACTATAAGTGTATTTAAAGCACAAAATTTAGTGTTGAAAAGAAAACAAATTAAGTAATAATCATTTATCTAACACAAATATAACTCAATAAATTATTGCAAACGTGCATTTATGCATACTGTCAAGCTAATGTATCATACTATCAAGCTCAATAGTTGTGCTTAAAAATTTTCAATCTGGTATCTACACTAAACAGCTCTTTTACTATATCTGTGTATGCAAGCACTGATATTTCTTGTTTGTTCCATTTTTCTTTATTTGGGATTTCACCATTCTTTACCCTCTATGCAGCACCAAATGTTGACCAGTAGCTATGCATTGCCTGTCAATATATAGAAATCTGAAACAAGAGTACAACCACTATTTTGCCAATTAAATCCACATAAAATATTGCTCGTGAAATGTTCTCCTAGTTCTATAAAACCTCTATTAACTTAGTTGAAGGATACTACAAACTATATAGCTTTTCCTTGCCTTACTAAATATATAATACATAAAAGCAACTAATTTGGTCTGGGGGTAAATTAACCACTAAATAAAGTAGCAGCCAGTATTAATAATTATACACCATGAAATGACTAATCCTTTTCTTACCTCATCTGCACTGAATATCCAATCCCTGGAAACTACTTTGACTGCCTCTCTTCTACAAACTACACAACTGTGTACCCAAATTCAGCCATCTGTAGGAAGGATATAAACATGTATTTTTTTTTATCTATAGGTAGAAATTTTCTTAAGTATAAATTGGTGAATTTAGTTCAAGTTAGCATCAACATGATCAAGTGAGATTGGAACAGTCGCTACAAGCAAGAAACTTCCATGCCTTAACATCAAATTTTGTTCACTTGCTAATTAAAAATAATGAAATATTACAAGAAACACAGCTTCTGTGCCTTGCTCCTTCTCAATCATTTTAGCTTAACTGATAATACGTGTCTCAGGAATTCTCATATGTTCATTCGTACTATCAGTGCTGTAAGCTCCAACAGTTCTAGAGTTACAAGCCTGCCTGAACAGTGGTTGTGCTCTTTCATGTACTCTATGAGGCAGCTTTTTAATTTTCTGTATATCATCAGCTTTATTTAAAACGGCCACAACTTCATGGAATGAGAAATTATCTGTTATCACAGCATTATATGGTCTTTTCACAGAAACGTTTGGGTTGCACTTTTTTTGTGTATTTCATGTTTCTCTAGTTCATCTAATCTTTTAACAAGTTGTGCCAGTGAATGTTTTCCAAAACAGACCAGTCTGTTTAACTGGTGACTGTAGTTTTCAAAAGGAAATAAAAAACACTGATCCAAGCTTCCAAACTCTCTGGCACCAGCTGAGATATGTATCATGCTGTGCACATTATATACTAAAAACTCAAGTCCATACAAACTTTCTTCCATCTGGACAAAATAGGCCAAAAGTTCCTCTGTATACTGACAAAAACGTTCTGCCAGTCTGGGGCAAGTAAGTATAGAAAGTGCTGTTCTGAGTATTATGAAATGATTGTACAGATCTGGCCTCAGAACTCCTTTCAAAACAATCTTGCCTGTATAAGCAAGAAATTGGTGATGCTCAGTTGATTTTCAATAATCAATCTCTTCCAAAGATCTTGGTTTGCGAGCAAATTTGACAGGTATTGAAGGTCTCAGGGCAATTAATCTTCTGCTTATTTCTGCACTGTGCAGAGCAGACATACTTCCTTTTTTACCTCGTATTCTATAACAACAACAATCTTCTCATTACACCCAAACACGCTTGAGGCATATAATCAATGGGAAATATGCCAACCGTATCAACAGGCAGTTCACAAAATATGGACACACCACAGTGGTGTTCCTCGTGAGTTTGGTTTCTGAATATCTCATCTGTTTGCTGTACAACATCTTGTACTTCTGGATAGGTCATTCTACCAAACCATTGGCCTTTATGGTTACATCGATCACAACCATAGTAACCACTGTAAAGTTTTATTGCCTTGGCAGGTGCATTGCAAACTATGCATTTCAATTTCAGCTGAATAATTTTATCCTCCTATTGAAGTCAATTTTGCATAATTTCCTGTGTAGCTCTTTCACTGTTTCTCTGATGAATTCTAAAGCTGACAGTTTGGACTCCCCCCATAGGTATTAGCTATGGGGAAAACAATAATGGGATCATGTTGAATTACACAAAGGATTGGCCACAATGATTTTGTGTTACTTCTGAAAAGTGATAACCCATCAGTATTTAATGAAGTGTTCAAACATCAATGTTAGCCATATATTCTTTGAGATACTTGTTGAGTTTTGTCACAATTTGATCTTTTTGACTCCAGTGAATGTACTCCATTCTAGATTTTCTTTCTGTCTGTATGTGTGTAGTAGTTTTCATTAAAGTACAAGCTGTTGCAGGCAGTTGATCATGATGGCCATGTCTCCTCAAGATCTCAAGAAGACCATCCAGAGCATTTTGTTTGAAAAGGAAGATGTTTACCCATGTTGCCAGCTCATTGGACAGTGAGATACCCTGGTTATCTCCTTCATTCTCAGAACATGAAGATAAAACAACCTGCCAATCAGTAACATTCCAAATGTGATTATTGTTGTCATTGTTGAGTTTACTTCAAGCACGTTCAACTTTAGAATCACTGAACTCTGTTTCAGAATTGTAAACACTGCATAACTCAACTTCTTGATTTTCCAATCCATTTGATTCGGTTTCACTTTCACAGTCAGTGGTACTGAAATCAACATCTAATTTCCTGAGTGACATTTTTGCTGATTTCCACTTCCTTATGCCTGAATCCATCCTACAACAAAAATGGATCTAAAAACATGATGCTGTAATTATTTTTGATATTTAATCATGCAGTGTTAATTTAATTAACTTTCAGCTTTAAAGGTAACTCAAATATTTTAATTCCTAAATAAATGTCAACTAAATTTCACAAGAATATTTAAAGCTAGGTTGTGAGTTAATGGTTTTTAGGCTAAATTAATTCACTTACACCATTTTAGTAACTTTATCATGAAACCGCCTTCAACTTGAATAGATATCCCCAAATGCTATAATATTTTGGAATTATTTACATATATAAAACGCATGTATAGCTTTCTAGAGCAATTGTTATTCCAACTCTTTTCATTGAAACAGTTTATCAGAAGTTGGTGTAATATTACATGTCATTTAGTAATATCACTTCACTAATAATTCATCATATATGTTGATAAAATCTTTATTTGTGTAATATTTATAGGATATTTATATCACCACATGATACCAAGTTCGTAGTAATATTGATGTCAGAATTGGAATTTCATTCAACCTGTTTGTACCTGTTATTGTTTAAATTAGATAAAAATTGTTATATAGAAGTAAAAGTGTAGTCATTGAATGAGTTTAGCCCCAAAAAAACCCATTAATGCACAACTGAGCTTTATATAAATAAATAAATGCCACTTAGGAATCATGCTGCTTAATAGAGTTTGTGATATACATATTTACATTATGTTTCAAAGAAATGCAATAATCATAAACACATTAGCATGAAATACATTCCAGTCAGTCTCAAGTCTTCTAGTGATATTCAAATAAATTATTTGCATTGCCAGCAAATGCGTTTTCTCTTTAAGTATTTATTCTTGTTTTATAATTGAAGTTTAATTTAACAAAAATTTCTAACATTAGGCCTATAGCTATAAACATTTACAAATATACTTATAGAGTAATGTAGTCTGTGAGGTGGTCCTGGTAGCCTAGATCTAATTGCTCACATACTGAACAGCTGTAGGCTTACTACTAGGGCTACATGATGATGCAAAGCCAAATCAAGTGGTGAAATTATTATTGACAGCTATGCCAATGTGGTCCACCATGTGTGATCAAGTTTCATGCAGGTTTTGAAAAACCTAGATCTAATCATGCTTTAAATAGGTTGTCATTTGATGGGATAACATCTGGGCTTACCTTTTAGTTTACAAATCAAATTAAAAAATTCCAAATATACTAGTAAACAAGATCAACATAGAAACGAAAACAAAAAACCCTTATTCGTATGGTTGACAAGGTCAAAGTCATTCAGCACTTGAGTTAGCTAAAAGCTATCCAAATGATCAGATGATTTTGCAAAAACAATTCAAATGTGTTCAGAGGAGGAATTCCAATTGACTAAATATACATTTTATCAGTAATCATCCATGTAGAAATATGTATATATTTAAACAATATGAATTTGAGTACTAGGTCTAAGAGATGTTAAAAAGCTATGTGTAAAACCTGCAATTAGAAAACAACGTTTTAGGAACATCGTTTTATAGGCCATCAAATACTTGTGAGAATTTAGGCTTGGTCTTTTCAGATAAATTTTTTTGTCATCTTTTTTTGATACTTTTATACAGTATTACCTGTGACTATGTGTCAAACACACTGCTATATCTGAGTTCTCAAAAATGTTTGACAAAACATTGGTAGAACATTGACACAACATTGTACTGTGACTTTGCATGGTGTGCTATTTGTCTTCATACATCCAAGAATGATATATATTTTTTCAATCTGCATTAAAATTAACATGATTTGATATATATTGCAAATTATATAAACAACATTGTGGCAACATTTTTAAAATGTTACTTGACATTGTGAACATTGTAATATTACTTATTACTTAAAACATTGTAACAAAAAGTGTTCATGTTTCTGGGACTTTAGGATATTCCTTTATAAAATAATTAATTGTACTTTTATAAGTATTGTGTATAAGATCTCTCTTTCACACACTTTTTTTTTCACAAATTAATGTGGAAAGTTTAAGTGTCAAAAAAGTTATTTATTTTGGGTAAATTTTTCAATACATATTTTGCAATTTAAAATAGCTGCAGCATTTCAGGGAAGGATTTTATTTTAGTATTTTTATCTGAAAATGAAAATAAAGTAACATTTGTTTTGGAAAGCTGTGAAAAAGTTTGCCATCTGCTCTATCAATTTTATACTCTGCTTGTATATCAAGTTTCTTTTTGTGTCATTTGATCTTTTAATTCTGTTATTCAACTATGATTGAACTATGCTTTATGTTGTTTCTTTCCATGTAAAAAAACTTTCCAGGTTCATAATCAAAGTGAAGGAACCCTTTGAACATGCTAATTGATTTTTAATATCACTCCAATAAACAACATTTCTATTGGCAAGTGTATTTGAAGAGTTTACCATTTATTGTATCACAAAAGTTTGTTTGAAAAATAATATCAATATATAATATTATATATATATAATAATAGTATTTGATTCAGTTTCTCCTTTTTCTTTTTTACTTTATTCATTATGTATGCATCCAATTTTAATGTTACATTCAGTAGCCAGTGGTGTTTTGTCAATTTGATTACTTTACAGGAAAACTTAAAAAACAAAGTAATAAACACAAGTTAAAATATTCTTAATAGCTATTTAATAACCAGGGAGTAAATGTTGTATTCTGTTTAAACATATCAGCATTGAAATCTGTTATAGAAAGTAGCATGTAATTCTTTATGGAATAGTTGGTTTTAATAATATAGGTAAATTAAAGTATGTGTTTTACACTATGAATTGTTTTACTGAAAGCCTGGCTTTATTTATTTGGGTTGAGTTAAAGGTCTTGAAGTTTGATATTTTCTCAGTTTTCATTATTATTTGCTGTTTTTTAAGGGATGAAGTGAAATGTATAAAAAGCTACAGAATTATTAAGGAGGCTACAGTTTTATTACTTGTTGGTTTGTGAAATGTAGATTTTGAGAGATTTTAAACACTGTAGTCACAATGTTATGTGTGGCTTCTGTTTCCATAAGCATTTAATCTGAAACATCTCCAGTTTTATTGAAAGTCTGGCTTTTGTCATTTGCATTGACTTCTTAGCACAAAATGTTGTTCCTTGTATTGATTATAATGTGTTTGGTAAATATTGTGTCCGTTATCATTAAATAATATGCTTTTGTTAAGTGAGGAAGCATATTGATATTGCATGGTGTCTAGCCACTTTATCAGTATTATATACTGAAGGTTCAGTTCATAGTTTTGCTTTATTGTGTGATCCTTTCTCTTAAAGTAAAACATCTCTCACTAGTTCTAACTATCATTTTCTCATAAATTATTTTGTA